CACCAAGTCCCGCTGCCTCCTTTTGTGCACACAAGATGGCCGGCGTTTTGTCTGCCAAGTGGCGTTCGGCTATACGAACGGCGGCCACACATAGAGAGTTTCCTTTATCCATAATGAACCAGAGGGGTGGTCGGACATTCGGTAGTTTGAAACTATCGAACAAATAAACGAAAATTGGAAAAAATATACGAAATGTCATACGAATGCAGATAGAGAAAGCTGGTTTTCTCACAACTCCCTACCTACTTTATGCTATATGTCATGAGTAGTGATGTCCCGAACGGTTCGCCGAACGGTTCGCTAACGGTTCGCCATGAACGGTTCGCCACGGACTCATCATTGAGTAAACTTTGACCCTGTACCTCACAGTCAGCAGACACATTCCAGCCAATCAGCAGCAGACCCTCCCTCCCAGACCCTCCACCTCCTGGACAGCTCACTAAGAATGCAGCTTCACAATGAATGTAAAATGGATGCTGTCCAGGAGGTGGGAGGGTCTGGGAGGGAGGGTCTGCTGCTGGAATGTGTCTGCTGACTGTGAGGTACAGGGTCAAAGATTACTCAATGATGAGTCCGTGGCGAACCGTTCATGGCGAACCGTTCGCGAACCGTTCGGGACATCACTAGTCATGAGATATATCCATTGACTTTTCTTTAGTTTTTGTAGATGTAAACAAAACCTATTTGAGTTTGAATGATCTTCCTATTTTGAAAGTCAGCCATGCCAATACAATTCCCTTGCTTTTCCTCTAAGGAGATTTAATGTCATCTGCACTGAACAATTTGGACAATCTCTTGGCCATGTCGTATGGTTGCGGAGAACAAAACATGGTGCTTTTTGCCCCCAACATCTACATCCTACAATATTTAAAGTTCACCCAGCAGCTCAGTGAAGAGATTGGCAACAAAGGGAAAGATTTCTTAACAAAAGGTAAGTGTTGTATGATTTCTCTAAGAGCCATATGCCCCAATGTGCTCTCTTAAATGCACAAATAACACAAGCACATCATTACCAATAAACATATAAATTAAAAGTTAATATATGGCAAGTCAAACCCACTTCTATTTTTTAATATACAAGTCATAAAAAATATGATATTGATCACAAATAAATATATTCACCTGCACTTGATAACACATATTCTGATCCAGGATGAAATGTTTTCTACACTTCAACAAGTGGCAAATGGATTTGGCAGAAAAGTAGTTGGGTTTCGTGTCCATAAAGTCGTTTAGGAACAATGGGAATTGGGATTGGTTTAAAATAACGTAATTAATGTAAAATATGCTAATTGTATTTAACAGTGCTTTACAAATAGATTCTAAAAGAACACTGGTAATTATACACAATATAGATACGTAGTATACACAAATTGATATAAAAGGAACAGAGGACACTGCTGCGAGCCCAGCATAGTTCAGGAGGTAAACTAGTACGGGTTAATGTTATCTTAGGGAATAAAGTAGGATCAGAGAAATGAGAAGTAGGTTCTGTTAGATATTTTGGGAGGCACGATAGCTGGGATCAGTATCTGTTGGATAACTGAATTAATTAGATATAACAAAAATTAGATGACTAGCC